ACAGCAGACACAAGGAAATGTTACTTGTGAAGTCTGATAACATCTAATGGGAGAAAATCTAAAGTTTGAACAGACAGATTAAGAATTATAGTCAGAAACCAAGCAAAAGAGGATTGTAACAGACAGTTTGTGAGTAAGCTTTTTAAGATACCACATAAAATTTAATGCTGTAAATCTGACAAGATCTTGTTTGAAGTTGACAAATTATCTTCAGAGATTTTTCAAATATTTTGCTATTTAAAAAATATTTCATCAACTGTTATATGGCTGGGCAGAGAATATGACAAATTTAACAATCAGGGATAATCAACCTTGCCCAGTAAAAAAAAGAACTCCAACTATAGATTTAAAAAAATATTTTAAAAAAATATTTATGTGAAATAGTAGCTATAAATGCAGAAAAACCCTTAAAAAAAAAAAAAAAAAAAAAAAAAAAAATCCCCCAATATAGTCTGTTAGTTTGACAGGCATATTGGGTGCTCATTAATACTTGTCTCATTGGGTGCCAATATGAAAATATTGAGGATCCAACCTTCGGAACAACCAACATTGCCACTGGAAAAGTATGGAGAAATCAGGTGAAGGCCATTGAACTTGAGAGGTTATCACTGTACTTCAGAATTGATAGAGTTGATCTGTCACAGGGATCCAGGGAATTGACCGATGTTTCTTTTTTGTCTATCCCAGGTTAGGATAGTTATGTACATGTCAAGCAGCTTCTTCCAGCTTCTTATGTTCCATTGCACAACTTTTGAAGGTTGTGATTGCTGTGAAATATGATGGGTGTCCCAACATTAGGTGAAGTTTGCAGGAAGGAACACTATACAGCTCAAGTGATTTGAAGAATTGGTTTCTGAATAGTCGGCAATGTGTAACATATTTCCCAAGAATTTGTTGTAACAGTTTTGAGTTTATTTCTTTAACTGCATCACTGTTTGGAGCAAGAATACCTTGCTCAAAGAACTACTGGTAGTTTTGGATTATTTATTACATTAAATAATTCAAATTTGACTTCCAGTTCAAGTTATTCTCATGTACAATTTTGCCTCTGATGACCACTGAGGTCAGCACCACCTATCCTACCATTCATTTTCTGCACAAGTTACTCTTGTGTACAAATTTGCTACCAAGAATGTAATTGTCTGGCAGCAATACAGATCATAGAGGCCACAAATTAATAATTCTATTTCCAATGACTTTGGAGTTTGAATTTGAGTTGATCTAAATTTGTGAGGTCAGAAAACATTTTTGTACTATCATTTGGTTATGATAACTGAACATAAAAGCACACACAAACTGTAACAACATAAATTAATTTTTTATGTTACCCAACAGATAAGTCACTATTAAAATTATTAATGATGTCTTTTACTATTATTAAAACCTAATAAACTGATATTATGACATCAAGCCCTAAAAAGAAGGAAAGATAAAGTAATAATCTCCCAACTTCATATCAGACATGCCATGATAACACATTCTTATATTCGAAAACAAGAGCCACCTCCAATCTGTACAGCATATCAAGAACTATACACAATAAAAAACATTAATAAATTGTAACAATTTCAGCAAAATCTCTTTAAAATACTACAGAACAACCAACATGAATAACTCTTTCATGACATTAATCCATATAATATCCTACAATTTCTGAAAGAAATTAAACTGTATTCCAAAACATAACTTTAACTACAACATAAAGCAAACATTTCACTGCCTCTAGTAATTATGTCCACACAAACAAGTATATACACAAAAGTGAGTATCATCTATTCAAAAGTGAGTGTCATGTATTCAACTGTGAAAGCAGAATATCATAATTTTACTACTTCAAAGACCCCAAGAATATTAAATTTTGGCATTAAATGACCCATAAAGAGTTGATATGCTGCTAAACAGATCAATCAATTACTAATGTAATTATGTTAAGTCTTTTCAACCCTCTGTAAACAGAAATGTGTTTTAGTTCTGAATATTAATTGCCTATGATTTGTGTAGTTGGTGTAATAGTTCACTGATTTCTCATTCTGGCCCACTGAGTACAAATTCCAATTGAGTGTGTTACACTTTTCATGTAAATGATCTTGGGAAAGCTATTAATTCAGGTCTTCTCACAGCTATGAGATAAAAAGTAGAGCAAACTGGGCTCTCAACTTTGGTTGGCAATCAGTCTAGAACAACTTTGAATTTAAAACATAGAGACAGCTGTTTTCGGGACTTCATGGCTCACTATGTGTACCTGTTGTTTTGTATTCAGTTCTTCCAAAGTGTGGCTAGTTTTGCATAAACCTTCATTATTATAATCTAATAATATATATAGGGTGTTTAGGCTGATCACTTCTGGGAGCTGACTTCATGGATTCTCATATGTCAAAGACAATAAGAGAGTTCACCACATCATCTATTATTTATTGATGTGTAAATCCTGTCTTTATTAATGTTATTCCTATTTTAGTCATTTTATAAACTCCTTTTCTGATTTAGCATCTATTGTAACTATATTTTTCTCCATGCTGTTTGTTTGAAAAATGTCTGTTTTAATGACTATAATTTTGTGCCCCCAAAGAAATATCTCTCTCTATAAAAGGCAGGATGTGTGTGTGTGTGTGTGTGTAATGAATGCACAGCCGCAATTTTTGATGGATTTGCACCAAAATTTACATGCACATGCTCCAAGACCGGCTTTGCATTTCCCAACTCCCATTGATAGTGGAAATAATCGATTTTTTCATGTTTCTATGGCAGTTTTCATGTAGTTTGCGGTCATTTTGTACTGGCTGGAGTGAGAGCCAATAGCTGGCTGCCACGAATAGGCAGGAAGATTCTATTGGTCAGTACGAGAATGTTAACTAGCATGCAAAAAAAAATAAAATCTATAGCTACATTCGTCACAAGTGGGAAAAATTTAAATCTGCATGGCACTTTACTCCAATTGGCTCATTCACTTGCTTAAAATCAATGTTGATTCCGATTCCACAGAACTGGGTTGGGTGTGAAAAAGTATTTGTTGTTATTCTTTTTTTTTTCAGTTTTTCCAGTTAAGAGTCCTTTTTTAAAGCTGATCATTTTGTGTTCATTTTGTTTAGTTCTTTTTTCATAACAGATTTAATGTTTAGTATAGAGCTTAGAAAAAATTTGCAGTGTGAGATAGGCAAGAAGGCATGTAGCAACATCAGCATGGCAAAGGGCACTCCTTTAAAGGCAAGGAAGGGCAAAAATATTTTAAGTCAAGTGATAGCGATTGCTGTATGAGTCATACAATTTTTGAATCAAGCACGGGCAACGCCTGGCCATGCTGCTAGTTTAAATATAATTTTGTAATCTGTTTCTAAATTGCAGGGATGCATCATGGAATTTCAAGAGATCAGTTGTGAATTTAACAGTCTTAAATCTGGAAATCTCATCTACCAGACAACCTCAAAGCAGAGAGTCTTTCAAACCACTACATAGACATTAATTAAAACTTTACAGTCTAAGCTGGATGGAACCTACACTCAGATGCTGAGAGCTATACTTAACATCCCTTGGAGACAAAATGCAATTAAATCCTAACTCTATGGACACATCTCTGATATTTCTGCAATCTTATGTGAATGCAGAATGCACTTTGCAGGAAATGGCTGGCAAGCAAAACAAGAACTTGTGAGTGATCTAGTGTTCTGGACACCTAGCCATAGAGCAAGATGGGTTGATTGCCCAGCTACCACCCACAATGACCAGCTATGTTATGATACTGAATACTTCCCTAATGATCTTCCGATTTTGATGGTTAATCTGATAGACTCATGAATGTCCAAACTAGCTCAGTCAAATAAAGTAATAATAAAAAGTCTATTTTTTCTTGGTAAGATAAAAATATTTTTATCACATATTACTGATTCTTAATATGTTTTACCTTTAAATTGGCAAGTGTCATTTTTGTCTGTGGCAGAATCAGACAAATTTCAAGATATTTCTACATAAAACTATAAACTTATTTCCCAACAAAATATTTAGCCAAATTTTAAACACCTTAGTAAAAGACAGGACATTTATGTTTCAAGTGTATAGTAGATGTGGGCCCTCAGGTAGGCGGCTGGTTTAATCATACTGTCAGACAGGAAGAGAATATCAATTCATCTGATTTTTAAAAGAAACTGCTCTCAATCAAATTAGGTATGTTATACAGATTAGCATGTAGGAAATTTTCTGGTTATTGTCCTCAGAGAGCAAATTCCTAGCACTTTTCACCCCACTTTCTCATCCCAGGTACCACAGCTGATGAGTGATCCACCACCTGGAAACTTATTATCCTAGGGTAGAAGGACAAAATGAAAAGGCTGATATCCTTCACAATAAAAATACACTGGAAGAAGGATTGAAGTTTATATCACAAAATTCAATTTAGAATAGGGTGTATGAAGTTTGACAAAAGAATTTGAACAAATTGTTTTTTTTACATTGCTAGAACAAAACCTTTAAGTTGAAAAACATTTTTTAATGTGCTAAACTTGATTCTTGCTGTATAACATTTTAGCCAATATGTGCTTTGACTTTCCTCAAATTTATAATTCATTTAGTACAGTCTTTCTTTGTAAAGATTTAAGATCTAGATATCAAAGATTCCAGTAAACAGTAGTAAAGTAAGTATAAAAAAAGAAACACCTGGCTACAACATTTTCCATGTGATGCAGAACACATATTTTGGTTACAGAAGGGAAAGGAAGTGGTTTTTTACTTTACTGGATATATAGGCACCTGGAGAGCACTGAATTTTATCAGAGTTAGCTTATGCAGTCTTTTGTAAAGTTTTGTTAAGAATGGATGATAATAAATTCATATGTTGAAGAATGCTGTTATATTTGTTATACATTATTATATACAGATTATTTACAAAGAATTTAAAGAGTGAAAAGAAAGGAAAAAAATAAAACAAAACAAAAAAAACAACCCCAAAACACATGCACACACATACAGAAAAAGCAAAAGAAATATGCAAATAATATCAGTTTATTTACAATGTCTAAAAATATTGATTCCGTCTTCCAAGATTGGTTTTTCTACAAAATAAGAAGTGAAAATATTTAAATTTCAGCATTAAAATATTTTAGTGGAATCCATTATTTTCCCCTATTACTTTACCACAAAATATGATTATTTATAGAAATTTATTAACTGAGTCTGACACAAAGCCATACTAGTGAAGCAACATGTGAGAATCAAATTCATAACAAATACATGCTCTCTGTAAGAGAAACCTGTTAATTCAAATAGTTTATAAATTATTCAATTAATTCATTTACAAAGATTAAAAGTCACACAGACCTGTCAGAACTTAAGCTTTAAAATGGTAAATATGAGAAAGATTAAACATTTAATGTTAAGCAATATTCTTGAGTATTCTTGAATCAAGTAATAAAAGATTTTTTATCCAAAGTAGGTTAAGATTTTAATATAACTGTGTTTTCATTCCAACCAAAAAAACAAGTACTATAAACTCTCTTGCTACAAAATATTTAAAAAAAAAGAAATAAATAAGAAGTTTATAGTTAATTTTTATGATTTAAAAGCAAATTACAATGACCTTGCTTATATGAAACTGATGCTATTTCCGCTTTAATTATATATTTAATAAACATATCCAGAACTGAAAAGCTTATTGAATAACTGGCTTATCTTCAGAAAATTCTCACAAGTGCACATATGTATTGATTTTTATAATGAACTTTGCAGTCTGTATTTTTTTTGTTAAATATAGAATTTTTTGATACACAAATGTCTCATTGAATTTCTGGGATGAGGAGTTTTCCTTATTTACACTATTTATTGGGTTTTCCAGAAAGTTCATGCCAATTTTTAGGGGAAATTAAAACACAAAGGAAAAATATGCCATTAAATATTTATTCAACTAAATATGAACCATTTTGTTGCACAACATTTCTTCATTTTTCCTTCAACTTAAAGATTCCATCTTTTCAGAATTTCAGTGGCTTCACAACAAAGAACTCATTAAGGTGGTTTTATTTTTATGTCATCCAAAGAATTAAAATTTTTACCCAAGGAGCTGAATAAATGAAAATCTGAAGGAGTAATATCAGGTGAATATGACGGGTGGGGTAACACATCCCAGCCAAACTGCAACAATTTTTGTCATGTTATCAAAAGAAATGCAAGGTCTGGTATTATTCTGATGAAAAGCATTACCTTTCCTGTTTGCCAATTCGTTTTTTGTTTTTTTTCTTGAATTGCTACCTTTAATCTGTCAAGTTGCAAGCAGTACTTTTCAGAATCAATTGACTGGTTACTTAGCAGAAGCTCATAGTACAGGATTCCTTTCCAATCTCACCAGAAGCACAGCATAGGATGAAGACTTGCTTTTGAGGTGGCTAAAGTTGGCTCATGCTGCTTACCCCAGGATCCATTTCGCATCACCTGTCACAATTTGCTTCAAAAAGGGTGCATTTTTATTGAGTTTATACAGCAAATCACAGATGAAATACAACCTCAAAAATTCTGTTCACTCAGATCATGTGGTACCCAAACATCATAACAATTTGAGTACCCAAGCTACACTAAGTGCTCATGGATGGTAGATTTTGATAAATTTAGTGTTTCTGCCAATTCCCATGTTGTGTAATGCAGGTTATTCTCAATCACTGTCATGATATGGTTGTCATCTGTAAGGGGGTGGGGTCTGTCTGAGCATCCTTCATCAATAAAGCTATGATTACCAACTCTAAACTTAGCAACCAAACTACTTCCGTACAGTTCTGTCAGCTAAAGCACCTTCACAGTATATGGCACATATATCTTTTTTTGTTGCATGTGAGGCATTTTTGCTTCTACAGTAAAAAAGAAAAGCAGTGTCTAAAATGCACCTTATAATCTTCAATTTTCATAGGGATACAAAATTGACATGAATTAAGTAATTTGAAACTTTCTTTCTCAAGAGATAATTTGAAGTGTGTCCTAATTGAAAATGTAAGCATATTACATCTGTAGAAAAATTTGAGGTGTTGGAACATGAATGACTAAAAATTGGCATGAACTTTCCAGACAATCCAATATATTTGGACTATCTATATAATACTAAAACATTAATCTTCTATGTATGTATGTTCCTGAGATACAGCATAAATACATAATACCCCAACCAATTTAGGAGTATGTTGTACCTTGGAGCACTGCTGAGTGCAGTGTCAAATTTCATTAAAATTAGGCAAGAGATTCTTGAGTTAGGTCCATTTTTTTTAAGGCATTTTTAATAGCAAATTCAGTATTTGTTTCCAGTACTCATTCTTATATCAATCTGTAAATAAATATTTGCATATTATATTCCAACTATTATGGGTGTGAAAAATAATAAACCTTCATAATACATTATAACAACATTATTAAATAAATTTAAATATACATAACGCAACATCTTTATACAATTCACTATACTACATTAGAACTTTTTTTTATAAACAAATATCTCAGATGTGATAAGTGAAGAGGCTATGTGTGTGTATCATTGTAAAACAATTTGTATGGCTCGAAAATTGTGTCACATGACTATCGTAAATAAATAAATAAATAGATGCATGCTGGTTTATCACTATTACATATTTTGAAATAAATGTGAAGAAGAAACAAGTATGTATAATAAAATATATAATTATTATTTTGAAAAAAAAAAAAAAATGGAACTAAGTGCACAAAAAAGGAGATCCATATTTTACATTATTCCAATAAATATAAATCTCTCTAAGCAGACAATTGCTGCTTGCTTGTTTCTTGGAATGCCCTTCACCTTTCAAAAGGTAAATTCTAAAATTGGTATAAACTGTCACTCTGTGGTTACTATTACTTGAATGAAAAGGCCATTAGTGTGATATCAGTTTGCAATTTCATATTAAAAAAAGTAAAATTTTTCTTATTAATTTCTTATTGTGCTTGATTTAAATAACATTGCATAATGTGAGTAATAATAATTATTACAGTAACTCATATTGCAAATACAAATTAAATATGTATAATTAATAATAAAATTGATATTGTTACCTCATTTTGTTTCATGAATTGCTTTTAAAAGCAACCTAACATGTTTATAGGTGGTCTAGCTGTCCACATACATGTCTATCATAAAATTGTATTAAATACATTCTTTTGGATTTTAACTTTAACCCTTGCTAGACTTTATTTCTATATTTTTTTAGCAATTATTTTTCTTTGTAGGATTAATAGGCATATACAGGTTCTCCTATTGCCTAGTTCACACTCCACCCTGGTCTTTTGAACATGAGAAAAAGTTTATCTATGGTTTCCTGTTCAGGATTGGGTCTTTGGTTCCTGCTAAAGTCTTCTCATTTTCTTTCACTCTCAGTAGCATCTTGCTTCTTAGTGGCATTATTGTCTTGTTTGAGGTGAATTGATTAAAAAAATAAATTAATGCTTAGAATATACAGTAGAAAAATTTTTATTCAGGGTTTTTGGTAATTTCTCTTGAAACCAAATGCAATTACCAAAAAATAAAAATATATATCTTGTCAATATAAGCAAAGCACATTCCTGCCTCCTACCCATGATAGGCCAGGAGTATTGACAAAGTCTGAATCATGAATAAAAAAAATCCATCTATTTTCCCCTGCTTCAAATTTGTTATCACTATCACAAACTGACTACATGGCATAAATCTATGCCTGGATGTCATGACATCAAAATTTAATTATTTATTAATGAAATAAATCACAAAATAATTTGCTAATTTTGAAACACACCATGTTGGTTGGGTTGATTCAATAAATAGCATATATATTTTACAGTCAATTGATATCATTAAATTTGGCTGTAAATAAATACACATACTTAACCAGCCAGATCCAGTAATGAGTAAAACAAAGAAAAAAAAGTGATTAGAGAAAATGTATGGGAAAGTTTACCTAAGAACTGACCTTATTTTTTTTTCTTTCCAATAAGTCCAAGTTCTTTTTTCTCTTCATAACTTGGTCTGAAAAATAAAAAGTTGAGACAATAAGTAGAAATTTTATTACAAAATGTTTTCTTATAACAGACAACATCCAGCTGAAACTAATAGTAAAAACTCAATTTATAATACTCGAAGACAAAGAAAACATTGCAGTTCACAAGCACGAGAAACTTATATATGTACCAAGCAGCATTTAGCAAGGGATATTTAGATCAATTAATTAGTTATCTATTAACTTGTACCTATCTACTTGAACAAGCGTTCTGGTGATAGCTTGTACAAATTATTTATTTAGATTAAAACAAAAGAGTATTAACAGGATGAATATTCAGGTGAATAAGAGAGTCACTTCAGTCAACCAGGCTATTCCAAATTGTAACTTTCTTGGTATAATGCCCAGGGAGTTTCTTTAAATAAAATTTTGTGGTAAAAAAGGGTCTGTTTTATATGGTAGGGAACAGAAAATCTATTTTGAAATCATAATTATTATAAAAAAAAAGCAAGCAACTGATTACAAAGAGGAGATGCATAAAAATATCTGGTCTTGAAAAATTGCATTATCATTTCAGTTTGACTTCAAAATCAAAACAGACATTTAAAACTCCAGATGAGCCAAGTTGAAGGAATACTTATTTGATCAATTATAATAAAAACATTAGGGAAAAAAAAAAAAAAAAAAAAAAAAAAAAAAAAAGAACAGATTTTATTTAGAATATTCATTTGCCATATTTGTGCATCTGTACTTTATAACAAGCATAAGAGTTTCATAAAATCTTAAGTATACGTTTATTGAAACAATTCTTTTATACTCAAAGTAATTTATTCCTCCAATAATCAGAAATTCTGGAATTGAAATTTTTTTTTGAAGTATGCAATACTTTTTCTTTTTTTTTTTTTTTTTAACTATCTTTCACCTAATACGAGGCCCAAGGGCCACTCAAGGTAGAGAGTTATTAAATGAGGTTGTTGTCTAGGGATATTGTCTAATTTGTATTTTTGACATGAGCAGTGGAACAAGAACAGTCTACCCTGCATGTTACACAGATTAACATACACCCAAAGAAGGATGGAATGCACAATAGTTAAAATGTGATAAAAGCAACAAAGATAACGACAATGATCTGAATATAAATAGTGTAAATAATGATAACTCCCCATCCCAGAAAAAAGAAAATATTAATTTCTGTATTTGAGGAGCCAAAATTTAAAAAAGAATTCTCTCCTGGCAAAATGAGTTATAATTATGCAATAATTCTTCATAATCTCATGCTAATTAGCATGGGCATTAATTATCCATCCAATTTAGCAAGGGAGATAATTAGAAAGAGTTGTGAAGTGTTTGGTTCAGCTGAATGCAACAATAAGAGTTGTAATGACTCTTTGAATATGGCCATTTATTGTAAGGCAACTTACCCATATCGGAACATTTTGACAGATTTTTTACTCGTATCTGTGAGTTCTTTCTCAAATGATTTGTTTTTGACTTCCTTTACCTTTTTCTTTTTGGATTTATCTGGAAAAAACAAAGATTAAAAATGATGTAACTTTGCATTTGTCCAAATAAATGCTAACATCAGAATATATAGTAAAGTACAAAACTTAGAGAAGCACAAACAAAATGATACGATTGAAGCATTTGTTAAATTCACTCTGAAATGTAGCAAAATCCAAAATCTAAATTAGAAAAAAAAACAAAAAACTTTCATATTATTTAAGATAATTATTCCTGTTTACTTTTTTGAAAAAAAAGATTATCATGTTATCAACAAATACGGAGATAGAACTAAGTTATAAGAAAAAGAAAGAAAAATTACAGACATAGGGACAGGATTGTGAAGTCAATGGAAACATTTCTTTCATATTAATCATGTAACATAAAACTGGTTGATGTTAAATCTGAAAAGAAAGAATAACAAAATCTAGAACTTCCAGGTCTGTATCCAATGCCCTACTAGTCAGCTTCTGTGGTCATCTTTTGTGCTAGGTTTTTAGATCTGAGTAAGTCAATCAACAGAGCTGGTCAAAATACTGTGGATATGAAGAATGCTGGTTATAAATAAAATAAAGAGATGGCTAACTTGAAAAGATGGCATAAGGCTAATTTAAAATGTGTTTGTGGTAGACTATGGTCAGTAGAGGTATAGTTAAAGAAATGGATTTACAGGATATTTATTTTCTTTCAACTGTAAGTCAAATTTTGTCTTTTCTGTTAGAATTTAACTATCTGGTTTTCATCAGCTTAAACTTATGTCTATTTAAACTCCCAGCAAGGGTTGCTTGCCTGTTCTTTCAGCCTCATGGTGATTTTTGGTCATTTTTTTATGCTTCTTTCTATTAATGTTGCATGAATTTCAGTTTGTTTTATGTGGCTCACTGATAACTACCTGACACAAGTAATGACATATTTTATATAAGTCAAACAACAGAACGATTTATCCAAATTCATCTATTAATAACTTCTTGCTGAATAAATATCTGTCTTGAAGCCTGCTTTCAATCTCATAACTCAAAGGCCCATTTTACAATTTGAAAATAGAAATTCCTTTATTACTTATGGTAAAATTATCATCATTTGCAAAACTACATGCCCAGAAGTTGACAGTCATATCAAATGGCCAGTTTTCAATAATCAATCAAATACTATCTCACCACCATATAGTTTCTTTATATGTCATTTAAGCAACTTTTTCCTCTTAAACCTTACTACACAATGAAAATATACTTAGCCAAAAATACTTTAAAAAATTAAAATTTGTCTTGGGTTATACAGCACCTTCAAAAGTAGTTTATCTTTTCTCCATCAGCTCATCTGGGGAGGAGGCAATTTAGGTTGAGTTGTGATTCATTGGTTCTAATCCATTTTGCTGTTCCATCCAGTTTAATTTTAAGTTTGATTCCTGGCCTTTTCAAAGTCCATTCAAATGTCAATTTCATTTACTTCAACTAATTAACCTTTTAACTTAATTTCTCTTACCTTGATGTTTTTACTATTCCTCTAGCTCACTCCCACCCCATGAAAAGATTTTTACATGATTTACTTGAATTTCACAAGATTCCATCAGTTATTTAAGTTCACTTTTTCTCAACCAACTACTACCCATCTTCTGTGGGGAGGATCTACAACCTACTTCAAGGAGTAGCATGTATTTTTAGTGCTCAAAAGTAATAATGAGGCAGATGCCTTGTCCTCACTAGTTTCTTATCATCAAAAAATGTACAAGGAGACTCTTATATTAAAATGATAGGATGCATATTTTAATATCAACCTTTAGTAGTAATTTAGACTAATTTCTACTTTAAATTTATTTGCATAAAGAAATTAGAGATTATCAAGCTAATCAAAAATTTATAGCAAATATTATTGTTATATTGATTGTAACAAACCTACAACTTTAAAAGCACTTAAGAGAAAAGCTTTCTTAAACAATTTCAAATTCTGATAAAATCAAAAAACAAGTGATTAACAAAATCTTATTTCTAGATGTGTATTGAATAATAGTGAAAGTGACTTACACTACATTAAAGTCACTCACTCTCTCTACGTTTCATTGACATAAGAATAATGAAAACAGAATATGAAGAAAATAAGAAAGGGAAATTCAGGTTTATGCCTTTCCTAAAATAAATCTAGTAGATAGAAATATTTTAAAAAATTAGTGTTGATTTAATTCCTATCAATGAGGTCATTATTGTTCCATAATACACAGAAAATAAAAATGGCCACAGCCTTAATGATGATGCTGGCATTGATGTAGTAACATACATATCAATGCACCATCTTTGTCTGAGCACTAAATGATCGCATGTGCTATCATATGCTTCAGTGTGTTGAAAGAAGGGGTTATGATGCTCTTATTTAATTACGGCTGTTGAGAGGTGTTGGTTTGTGACCATTGCAGAGAATTATTGTGCAAAATGGACAGCGTACAGTGGTAGTGTTTGAGGTTTGTAACAGTGGTTAAATGAATATTCCAGGTTCTAGACAGATTCATAGTATAGGTGCATGCCAAGCACATATTGTAAGAGTAGACATGTTCAGCTATTGTCTACTTCATACTCCTCTACAATCGTTTGAGTAGGAGTGGTGGTTTATCCCTTGTTTCCTGTTCAGGATTGAGTTTTTAGTTCATTCTAAACTGCTTTCATTCTTTTCACTTTCAGTAGCTCCTTGTGTCTTAGCAGCATTATCATCTTGCTTGGGGTTAATTGGGGAAAAAAAAAAAAAAAAAAAAACAGTAGCAGACTGCTTGCTACCTACTGCACAATTCAAAGAAAGAATGACCCTATAAACTATTGAGAATTGTTTAATGCAAAAAGACTCACTTATAGCTAGACTACCACTTAGTCATGGATGTCTCCTGTGGTTTTGCAAGAGGGTCAACTGAGAGATCAAATGGCATGCTGTAGTGTTCAAGGATGACAGCTTCATGCAAGTGATGATTGTTTGCATATGTGGCATAGCACCTGGAGAGTGATACCTTTCAGAGTTTATTTGCCCACAACGCACAGGCCCAACCTTTAATGTGAGATGGCGTAAGTTACAACTCTCACTTTATGGTGTTTGTAAAGGACATGTTGAACAGCACGATGTATGTCCAGCACATTGTCCAACATTGCCATTCCTGAAAAAGGAAAGTGATGTGCATGAGGTCCATGCTACTCAACATCTTTTACAAGATGGTTCACAACTTTCCTGGTTGGTATAATCACTAGATCCATTCAATATATATGGGATATGATGGAATGACACTTGACTACAAACTGTTGCTGCATTGTATCAACAGGTGTAAAAGGTGTGGAATAATGTATTACAGGATGGTATACCCCATCTCTATGATTGTATGCATCTGAGAGTTCAGGTAAGCGTTAATATCCAACAAGAATATGCAGTGTATTAATATGGGGTTTGAGTACTAGAGAGATACTACTGATGTTGCAACCTGTGCACATATTGACCTGTGCATGTCATTGTCTACTATAATCCAACCATATTATCTGTATGCTTTATCTTGAGTAAACTGAAACATATTCAAAATTTTATGTTATGGCAGTTGAAATATATGTATAAATGTAACTACTATTATGGAACAGAGGTAAGCACTTATTTCAAAACCAGGGAGGACAATGAAGGATGAAATCCGTTTTGAAAAGCACTTATATAACAGTAGGCAATAGAAAATTATGTTTCCTTAAAACAAGTTTTGTAAGCAGAATTTCAACAACAGAAACAAAAGCTAAACAAAGATAATAATTTTAAGGTAAATCAAATTTAATTTGTGTGCTAGCTATCCAAGTTAAATTTTCTATACAATATAAAAGCTAAGCAAAATTAACAATTGCTAAGAAATAAAGTATTGAAACAATTTATTACTTTTTTTGGAAGTTCCTTTAAAAGATGTGAGTCGCTTTTGCTTTTGGGCTTTTTTGCTGAACCGAGCGGCACACTGTTGAACTTTGTGCAGCTCATATTGTACACGTTCTTCAGGCTGAAAAAAACGCAAAAAAAAAACTTTAACCATCTGCTCACAATTACTCTTTGGTTAAAAATTCTAAAGATGAATAATGAAAAAAATTAATTATATTGGCATTTTCAGTTATAAATCTACAGCAATGGAAGGTGTATGACATACAAGAGAAGTGGAAATGTACTGAATTTATCAAATTTCAACTGAAATGAAAACTTTAAAAAAATTTTTTTAAAAAAATGAAATTCTTTTGCTTTAAACAATACAAAATAACCAAAAATAAGTTTTTAATTTTCATACATACTATCTTTCTTAGTGCATATACTTTTGAAATAAACATCTTAGAACAGTCTTTCTTTTCGTGTATAGCAATAAACACACTACATGAGTAGTGGTTACTGCAAGTCAAAAAAATTAGTCATGACAATGATAAATGTTTATTCATCAGTTAAATATTTTCCTTTTCAGGGACAATCTCAATATACCTATCATATTCTTTAGGTAAAAATAAAGTGCATCCCAAATTTCAGAGCAATTCATTCAGAACACACACACACACACACACTCACACACAGTAATTTCCCTCTTAAATTGTTTAAGCAATCAAAGTTCAGTGAAAAATCTTTTTCAATAATTATTGCTTATTAATATTTTGAGATTAGGATATATATAATATTTTATTTTAGAAGAAATGTTCAAGTGTAAGCTTACAGTTCCTGTTTTCTTTGTCATTTTTTGTCCTTGTAATTGTTTCTGTTTCCTTCTGGTTACTCTCTCTTCTCGTTTGTCAAGTAGACATTTCGCTGTAATAAATAATGACATTATTATTGTATGACTAGAAAGTTAATTTGGTTTTCTTTAATTAGAATCACTTCTCAAATCATTAAGATTGTTTAACAGTTACATTTAAAGATTTATGACAAAACATTTGGAGACAAATCTATTGCAGAATTGAGATGCCAACCAAAATAGATTTGTTAAATAGGAAATTGAATTCTTTGTCATTCTTTTGACCTTTGTTTTTGGTAGCCAAATATGAAGACAACAGCAACTTCCCTTGGGATTGTAACTAATAAATATGATTTGACAGATGAAAGATGGCTGTGGTATAAGAATGAAGTTATATACTGTATCAGCACTGAGATGATTCAATCTGTAGATTATAAGACAGTGAAAGTGTTTAAAAAAAAAAAAAACAAAAAAAAAAGAAAGCCAAGTCACAATACAGGTAGGTTATTTTTTTTTACTTTTTACTTCTCACCTCTATTAAAACAAATATCTTGTATTGTCTTACAAGACAGTATTTCAATATGGATCTTCAGATGAGAAGACACTTTCTACTTGGTAGAAAGTTTGAGCAACTGAAAAGTGTTTCACCCGCAAATTTCAAACCAATTGGAAAACATTTCATTGAAGTGAATTCCATAAAGATATTTAATGCATCAGAATAAAGCAAACTCAACAAATATTTCAAAGTTTCTATTTACTTTTCTCTAAGGATTTTTCCTTTTTAGTTTGAAACCATTTTCTTTCTTGTTCTCCATTATTTCCTTCCAACATATTGTTTATTCTGTTCACTTGCATTTCAGAAAGCTGTAATTCTCTCTCTTCCTTTTCTAAAGCTTCTACAGCCTTTATGTCAGCCTCAAGGGAAGTAATCTTGTCTCGATATTTGTTGATGACCTCTACAAGAACAAAAAGTAGATGAAAACATTTATCCAGTTTATCAGCTTAAACTTCTAAACTCATCATTTTATATAACTTTAAATATTTTTTTCCTATTTATCAAGAACAATTTTAGGGAAAAAGTGGGGAAAAAAAAAATATATGTAAACATCATTTTAGTCCAATGAAGTCCTAAGGGACAAAAGAGGTTCCAAAGTTTGAAAAAATTTATATATATATATATATATTTTCCCCACTTTGAAACCTTTGTCCTTTAGGACTTCTTTGGCCTGAAGAGGTGATCACAGTGTGTGGCACCTATATGCAAAGTGCCTGAAAACCACAGAATGGTTGACCAAGCCTTGTGAATGAAAAATAGAACTACTTGGGAGCTGTTGATAGTCGAGCTGTCACAAAGTCAACAATCATGACCGAGAGTATAAGCATACTGGCTTTGTTCAGATTGTTGATCACAGCAGATAACATGCTTTCTCCCAGAAACTGTAACTAAGGTCTACTCAGCATAGATGCAGTATAAACCACAGGTGGGCTCTGTGGGTGCTGACCAAAGACAAATGTGTCTGAGCAAGTGCCTACCACAGGGATTGGCTAGCCACCTAGGTAAACAGGCATACTCGGATACAAGCAGCCAGCTATCACACGCACAAAAGTTGTATTTAGACAGCAAGATTTGTTAAATTGAACTGACAAGGTTTGTCTATTTTTTTATTATTTTGTTCTCATTTCTAAATGCTGCACAGCAGGACTGAAATTATGAATAAGTACATTCAATTATCCAAACATTATCAAGAAGTTTGAAAAATTCTGCTATTTTTATATCTTTGGGATTAGAATGAATTCAAAGTGACACCCTATGAAATGGTTAAATAGATAAGCATGTATCAAATATGCATATTTTTTTGAATGTGTAATAAATATGTATGCATATTAAATATTTTTGTACATATGTATGGTATATTTAATACACATACAAAAAAATACAAAATGTATAAATATTCAATACATGTTTTACTGTTTGTTACACCGGACATCACTTTGAACTGATTACAATTTTGATGATCTAAATCCACCCGGATTTAGCCAAAATTTGTTTACTATATCATCCAGTTTTTGATAATGACCGAGATAGTTGAAAAAAAAACAGTTTATTCATAATTTCAATCCTGATGTATAACACCTCATTTGGAAATTGGAAAAATATAATAAAAAATAGACAGACCTTGTTGGTTGAATTTAACAAAACTTGTTTATATATTTACTATATTTTTAGATGATGAGTGCTATATATATATATATATATATATATATATATATATATATAGATAGATAGAGAGAGAGTGTGTGTGTGTGTGTGTGTGTGGACATAGGAAGCAACACTGACATGAATTGAGGCATGAAATGGAGTTATCATACATTGTTTATATTACATACATAATCAGTCATACAGACTGCATAAGTGATTAAGACCAACCATTCATCTATTCTGTAAAAAGAAATAGTTGTAAAAAGTTTTTTGTTTCTGTCTGAATTTCAGGGATAAGGTGTTTACAGTATTTACAGTCAAACTATTGTCTTCATCTTTGTTGGTATCACAATATCAGTAGGCCTAGCATAAAAATAAATACAATATTGGAGCCACTAATAAAGAAAGACAAATTACAAGTTTTTTTTGGCAACAGCAGTCAAGTATAACAGGCAGCATTAATCAGTAGGCAGGTTAGGTTTAAGGCTCCAAATATACCACACAGACAAGGTTCATGAATTTGGTGACATAGTGATTGTGAGTTCAATACCTTGGCTGGACCGTGTGCCCTTGCACTCAGTAGAAATGGAAAGCAATAACTAAGTAGTACTAAAAATAAGGACTAGACAAGATATCTCTAGATATGGGCAGTGGAATGAGAACATTCTACACCTAAATAAAGGGTTCAGTTCAGAATTCCATGTAGGTTACCTAGATTGACAAGCACCTGATGAAGGCTGGAGGGCACAATGCCCAAAACATTGTGATAACAACAACAAAGATGAGGACAATAGTCCAAATGTAAATAGTGGGAATAAGTAATAAAATTACAATGCAGTATGACCAGCATGAAGATTCATTGCATGCCACTGATTGATAAGGTTAACTGAGTCACCACTTTATTTGAGCTAAATATTCAATAAATAAATAAATGTCATTCACTTATTTGGGCCATCAAGCTTTTTGAGCCAACATGAATATGCCAAAGTGATATTTTGACTGATCATTGCCTATTCATTAACTATTTATCCTGAATCAAGCAATATTACCAATGTTACAGTTCTCCTACATCATCTAGAAAATGCTGCCAATTCTATGTTATGTCAGTCAGTCAGTTATGTGCCAAGCATGATACACGATTAGGCAATCATGTATCTTTCGATACATGACTGGCGAGGCAGATTTTTTCCCCGCAGTAGGTTGCCATTTTTTCTGCAGTAGACCAGTTGCCATCCAAGGTCTGTCCTGCTATTTACCCATAGCTTGGGAGAGAAGAAGAGGATTAATACCTTTTCCAAGGGTATTAGCACATAAGTGAATGCCATAGATTTGACTGGAATTTAAACATGGCTCTCTGATTCCTCAATCCATTACTCCATCGTGCCTCAGTGTCTCTAAAACTGAATTCATAGGCTTCAACCAGCAAAGTTCAATACAAACTGTCTCAGGAGAATCAATAAAATCTGTTGAATCTTTACATGCCTAGGAAGCAAGATAAATTCTACTGAAAAGGATGTGAAAATTCACATAGCTAAAACCTGGGCTGCCTTGGATGTAATCTGTAAATCTGACCCACCAAACAACATGAAGCAGAGATTCTTTCACTGTAAAGGTGGTGTTAATGTATGGTGCAACTGCTTGGACATTAACTAAAACCCTAAAGACTAAGTTTGATGGAACCTACACTCAGATGCTGAGAGCTATACTTAACATCTCATAGAAACAACACCCAACTAAATCACAGCTCTAATATTTTTACAATCTTATGCAAACACAGAATACATTTTATAGGACCTTGCTGGCAAGCAAAACAAGGACTCACAAATGAGCTACTGCTCTGGGCATTTAGTCATGGAGCAAGACGAGTTGGTTTCCCAGCAAAACATCAATCAGTATTAAGCATGACACAAATTCAATATATTATTAAATGTATAATAGGAAAAAGTGTTTAACATTTTTTGCTGATACATTTACTGCATTCATATAAAGATTTTTTTTTATCTGAATAAATTGAAAAGCATAATTTATATTCCCTTTTAGAAATCATTTATACTTAAAAGTAAAAATACACATATGTAAAGTTGATCAGACAGACTGCCCAAAATTAATTAAATTACTTTATTCCTGTTGCATTCTCCTAATTAACAAGAAGCATATGTATGGGTGAGGAGAGAGATATACAAATAGGTAGATAATGCCTATATTACCCTGTGGGATAAGTCTAGCCTTGATTGGAGTACGAGCTTTTTTCACAATTTCTTTCAAAATACGTCTTTCATTTTCCCCAACCAAACTGACTGATCTGTAAAAGAATACAAAAGTAAAAGATTTTTCTTACCGTTGAAATGAAGACAAACAAAAACAAAACAAATAATAGGATTTTTAGAATTCAATATTTGTTTTGCACCAATTTTTTTTTTAAACAGAAGAATCAAGATTTCATTCAATAAAAAGGTACATCATAATCTGATACAGCACAGGCCCATTAACTAGAATACTTGTCTACTATTTATCACTATTTATAGTTTCATTAATCAATATAATGTGTGGTCATTTCATTCGTGTTTTTCTTATTTCTTTTACATGAATTCTTATGATGATTTAAATCAGAAAATTCAAAGATACTGAATTCCAAGGAAAATTTCAACTGAATTGACACAAATATCTATAAATGATTCCCCTTTACAAATATAAAATTGCAATTGGAGTTATCATCCATAAAGGCACAGATATTCAAATTCAAGGGCTTCATTACAAAAAAAATAAAAATAAAATCATTTTTGTCATTATCTAATGTCAAACTAAATAATTTGCATAGAATTCAAACGAAAGTAAAAATAATCTAGTTTAATTGGCAGCATCTGAAACTCATCTATATCTATAAAACAAAAGGTGTGTGTGTGTGTGTGTGCTATTTATGCACATCCACAGTTCTCAACTGATTTTGATGAAATTGTACACACATTGCAAATTTACCATTTTTTATCAGATTTTCTTCAAACATGTTGCAAAAAATTTGCCATCGTGCAAGAAATAAGATAGTGTGGTTTTAGTCCCATTGACTTCCCTGCATATAACAAAAAAACCTGTTCAAAGTGCCCATTTTTTGACCATAACTCAATGTTTTTTTTTTATCTAATGCCTTCCAAATTTGCCATCTAAATTACACGACACATAAATTGTCTTGCATGAATGTTTGGTTCAGATTATTTCAGTTAAGTGGATGAAATTTGTGATAAACTAGGTCCCAAATCGGCTTTTGCCATTTAGCCAATAGTTTCTTCATATGATTCCATCCTAAATTGGCATTCGAACGACCTTTGATGCAAAGATTGTTTGAGAAAAATTACTGAAGTGTTAAAAGGGAAAAATTTCTGAAGGACCTCTTATTAACCCCAACTTTACAGTAAACATGCAAAGAAAGAGCAGGGTGTTCACGCATTTGCACTTGCAGTTGAATCAAGCTCTGAAACCTCATCACTGTTTTTGTTTATTAGGTTTGTGAACAATGACATACTATTTGAAAGTTATTATGGCCATAGGAAATTTACTGAATATCTAAAACCACACAAGAAGGTTTTATTGATGGAATTCTTTTATTAAGAACAATCAAACATTGCAAGGACATACTGTAAAAAGATGAGGTGAGGAGAGTAGCTTAGTATATCAATAGATGATGCATGCAAGTGGGGACACACATTTCTAGACAGGGGAATGTGGGTATACAGTGAGATGCGGTTATACAATTGCAGCCATGTATACCTAGGAAACGCTGTGTATCTTGGCTAGTACATTATAATTAAATGAATTATTCTGTTAAAATGTTTCTTTTTTTTTTTTTGTATAGAATCGCTTGGTTGTGTAAAGGTGATGTTGAGAATGTAATCAGTGAATAAAGTTCAAATTCAAGATGAGGCTGCTTGTGTTTACTTTGCTTTAATGTTTTTGAAAAAGGCATGAACCCACCTTTCAATTCATTCTGTCTATTGCCAGATATCTTGTCAAATGCAATAAAACACTGGCATTCACATACACATTGAAGTATCTACAACTATTTGATTTTAAGTTATTTACACGCTGCTTCCAGCATTAACATACTATTTATATATATATATAAACTTCAAAGAATAAAGAATAATATAAATAGTATGTTAATGCTGTGTGTGTGTATGTGTGTGTGTGTGTGTGTGTGAATTAAAGATTGAATGCAGATGAAATATGGACCAAAATCTGACAGGATAAGTAAAATAAGGAAACGTTTATCAACCTAACATGTTTCACTTTTATTAAAGCTTCATCAGAGATTGAGAGAAAACAGACAATTTTGGTATTTTCAAGTTTGTTTGGTTTGATTCTCATTGATCAGTCATATTTTAATGACTGTGATACATCACATATATATATTACATACTTTTAAATAATTAGAAACATGAAAAAAAAAAAAAACATCCAAAATATTTGTAATTATATGCTAAATGTATAAAATTTAAACACATTTAACAATAGAAGTCAATATGAACAGTTTTTCAATTATACTATCATGAAAGATTAAAAATAGTTTCATAACAATTTTCTCTGAAAAATGATCTTGAAATGTTAACTAATAAAGATGGTATCATAGGATTTAAGTTTATTAAACCTTCATTTAATAATGAAGTTTTAGACAAGGTGATACGAATATAGGTATCACCTTAGTTTTAGCTAAAAAATAAAATACTTACCTCCCCCTTTTTCCTGCCCGAGCTGTTCTACCAACTCTATGAACATAATGTTTGAGAGTACTTGGTAGAGTAAAATTTATAACCTGAAATGACGATATTAAATAAAAGAAATTATACAAATAAACAGGATGGGAAATTGATATTTTTATTTTAAGTTCAAAATTATCAAAGCATTTGTATTTCTGTCTTAACCAATTTACTTAAATGGTTTAATAAACCATTAAATTTATCAGAAATCAAAAATATTTTATATCTACAAAGCACATTTTGCAGCTCAGAAGTAATTTTCCATTAAATTTTATATATAGGCTTATTTTTTTTTGTTCATGTTAATATTTCAAAACTGGATTTGAAAATGACTCCAAATTTTACATAATTTGGAGTCATTTTCCAATTCATAGTAGAAAAAAATTTAAAAAAGAAATTGATAAAAGAATGTATTTTTGTTGGCACAAGTCAGTTATGAAATCATTGTCATAAAGAGGAACATAAGCAGGTATTTTACTTGGATAAAAGACTCAATCATCAATAAATTCCCAATGGATTTTAGCCAAAAATACTTTGCTACAAGGTCATTTTGCAGATAGATATTTAATTCCCCTAAACATATTTTGAAAACAATCTGACAAAGTTTTAAAACTTCAAAATTTATTGTAGATAAAAATAAATATATTGACTATTTTTTCATTTGTATTCAGTATTTGTTAATGTAGTCATATGTAAATGACTGCCTAAGTAGTATAGCTCTGGCATAGACTATATAAATGCCCAAGCAGTAAATGTAGGGCAGTTCTCAGTATGCGAGAAACAACTACTGCTGGACTGAATACAAAGGAAAACACTTCATAACAGTTAAAGAATTATTTAGAATAACAGAGAATACCAATATTAATGCTTTGCTCACATCCATACAATTGATCAGCCATTTTAATTGTATATACCAAAATTCAGCTTTCACCAAGATTTACATAAAAATTGTTAAATATTCAGTAGATATTCAGCTGAAGCAGGTTACATAATATAAAAGACAAATTCTGTATGATTTAGTAGAAAACATTTAAAGGTTTATTAACTTAAGCCAGGTTTTAGTAAACAAAAGTATAAAGAGAATGAAAAATGCAGAAAATAGTTTAAAGATATTTTAAATCACTTAGCAATTAGCAAAATTCAAATCTATAATCAATAACCTTCATTTTAGAAAATCTAAGCCTCTCTTTTTTCACATTCCTTTCCAAACATAACAAAAAAATGATAATTACCGTTTTTACACCCTCAATATCTAAACCACGAGCAGCTAGATCAGTTGCCAATAAGACATCAATTCTGGATTCTTTGAACTTTTTCAAAGTCTCAAGACGCTAAAAGAAACAGAAAATAATGAAATTAAAAGATAATTTGATATTTTTTATTTAACCTTACATAATTCTTAATATAATTTTTGGGCATGCAAAAAAACAAATATAAAAAAATTATGAATGGGAAAATAATACTATACTAGAAATATGGTTACACATCTTCAAAACTAATTATAATGATGGTAGTGTAATAATTATTTGAATCACAACTGTTAACTGATTTTTTATTTTTTGCTCAAAAAGTAGCACATTTTAGTTTTTAAATATTCATTTTCCAGCCTTCACAAGGAAACATTTCCTGACTTTAACAATTGAAAAGTAAAAACTTAAATTTTCAGAAATTTTCATACTGCTTTGCAATTCTTTGAAAATATTCTTTTCCACCTAGTCACACAGAATGCAACACTGAAACTTTGTTAAATATTCTGGCAAGTAATTTTTAATAAGGAAATAGAAAAGTATATTAATCCCTTAACAATGGCAGAAATTTCCACCATTCACAGTTGAACCATAGAAATGTAAAGATGCAAATTTCTGTCATATTTAATGAGATCAGCATCAAAATCTCACCTGAGCTTGTGACAAATTTCCATGCAATTCTCCAGCATTAATACCAAACAAACCAAGAATTATATGCATGCGATGTGCTTGTTTTTTGGTTTGGATGAAGATAATACAATGATCAGAAAAGATACGGCTGGCCAAAGCTGTGGAAGAGAGACAAGATTTTTAGATTCACATCGACAAAGTTAGTAATAGCAAGTTCAGTTTTTAGTTTAAAGCTCTGAAATTTAGTTTTGTGCATATAAATTTGTTAATTTTTGTTACAAAGAAACTTAATTTTCAGTAAATATTTCTTAAGATTATTTTTATATTCCAGAGACATAGTGAAAACCTCCACATTTAATAGCAGTTATACAAAGAAGCTTTTTGGCTTGTAATGTGTACAAATATGTACATTTGTTGGGAAAAATATATCACTTTTTATATTGATCTCTTTTGTATCTCCTTTTCCATGTACACAAAGGTGAGGATAATCTTTTATAAGAGATTAAAATTTAAAAAAATCATTTACCAGCAACAATAGCTTCCCTGTCTCCTTCCCTGGTTGGACGTATTCGTATGAATTCCTGTCTCAGACCGTAGGCAACTTCTGTGTTTTCATTTATGAAGATTTTCACTGGTTTGTTCAAAGACATTGTTGCCAAATCTTGAACCTGGAGAAACATGTAAAAATAAATGCCATATTGAAAGGATTTTTTATTTGAATCTTTTGTCATGTTACATTAAGTTAATGTAACTTTGTCTTCATACTATTTTGAATTGTTTACAGAAGTGCACTGAACAAGCGTATCAAGCAGAAGTGTAGGTTTTGTTCTGGTTCTAAGAAATCTTGATTATCTGGAGTTGAATCAATTCAAATGAACTATTAATTTCAACTATAGAAAGCCTGGAAAGCAGCCACCAAGTTTTTCATTATAATACTAGTTCTTAAGACATTCTTTAAATGTTAAAAAAGAATTTGAAGAGATTTTCCTTTAAACTTTTGCATCCATTAACATTAGATGTGCCCCAAAATTTCCAGTATGCTTTCTTTGAACACTAGAGAGCGAATATACAGCTGAAAACTGTTTTCTTTTTTATATTATTGGAAACTTTTATACACATATACACATTAATAATGAAATCTCAACATTAGTGAAGAGAATCAATTAATATTTACACCTGCAATCAAAGAGTTCTTTAACACTTCTGTTTTTAAATAAGAAAACTTGAATATAGTTTATAAGAAAAGAAAATTTGATTAATAAAAAACATCAGAGTAAGTCCTTTTAATCACAGATAAAATGTGTTCCAAAGGCAAAATGCATATAATGGCTTTGCTAATATCTGACCAAAAGGTTAATGCAATATGCATATATAAAAATTCTATGAATGATGCACATCCCAAGGAATGACTTGTTGTGGAATAACCATTTCATTATTTTTAATCTGGTTAAGCAGAAGACACCAGTCATTAAAATTTAGAAGTTTTCCTTACCTCTTCAGTCATTGTAGCTGAAAACAACATGGTCTGTCGTTGTCTAGCACAAAGACGTATCACTTCCTTCATTTGTTCAGCAAAAAAGGCATCCAACATTCTTTTAAAGAAATTAAGATAATGCATTTAAATTATAGTTATCCTAATCACATAATAAAAATAAACATTTATCATTTCAGAAAGTCAAATTAACTTAAAATGTGAAAATTAGTAATTTATACTAAATGATTGAATTTTTGTTCTATATAAAATTAACACAGCAGTTTATAATGAAATTTTACAATATTTTAAAGTAATTTATATTGTATATTACGAATTATGAATATAGTTTTACAGCATATTGATTCTTTAATAACAGAATATTTTTATGGGAATTCAGATTTCTAATCACATGTCCAGAGTTGCTTCAAAAATAGAATTATAAGTTGGTATTGGATGGAGGCATCACCTAATTCAATAGTGGCTTGTCAGTCAGTTAAATGCTGGAGGTGATACATACTTGGGTGATCATGTCTCTTGACTAGGCAGAAGAATTTTCTGCATTAGGTTACCATTTCTTTCTGTGGTTGCCATCCAAATTTGTCCTGCAATTCAACCCACAACTTGGGAGAGGGAGAAAAGACATGGATAATTGCACATAAGTGAATATAATAAACTCAACTGGAACTTGAACTCGGTTCTCCAATTTCTCATTCCGAGCCATTAGCCATTACACACATGTGCAAGTCTTTAATTCTTTGAGGTAAGCTGATCTTCAAACAGTGAGAAAATTATCATCATCATGACCAATGTTCTTATTAACATCATTATGCATTGTAAAGTTCTGGGTTGATGGATATATTGCCCACAATACTGTTATATAAATTATAGTAATAAGTATAGATCAGATTATTTAACTGTTTTTTGTTTCTTGAGATTACCTTTTGCTACATACACAGAGGGATGGTGAAAGGTTCTCAGCTTAACTAAAAATAGGAAAAAAATAAATAAAATCTTGCATTTAGTCAGATTTTGTGAAGTGGGTTGGGCTTTTCAGCACTGCTGTGTGTGTGTGTGTGAGAGTGAGTGAAATTTTTTTGCTTTTATGGAATATCATCTAATCTTACCTGTCTGCTTCATCAAGAACAAGAATTTCAATAGTATGCAGACTAAAGTGAGGAGCATTATGAAGATGATCAATAAGTCTTCCAGGAGTGGCAATAACAATGTCAGGTCCCCTTCGCAAAGCAGCTTCTTGCATTTTCAGATCTAAACCACCTTTTAGACAAAAGACACATAGGGAATACAGAATAAATAAGATTAGAATGGTTAGAATACAAAGTATTTGTAGCTTAAGTGATATACTAAGCAACATTGAAAATGTACTTCCATATTGCAGAAGGCTTTATAGGCTTTTTTGTTTTCACAGAAGTTAAATTGTCATATTAAAATCATAGAGTAATTATGTTACAGCAGCTTTTATTGTAAGTAAAACCATTTAATAGCATGTAAAGAGTTTCAAAGACTGCCAATTCCAATGTTTTATAGAATTTTATTACTTACATGGCATATGGAAATATTTTTGTTGAGTTTCTGACATTCATACAAGTTGAAAAGTAACAAAAATATCTTCATTAAAGATTTACCTGTTGCAATGCAGATGTCAATGTTGGTAAATTGTGCCAATTGTCTAGAGACTTGGTGAACTTGTACTGCTAATTCACGTGTAGGTAGTAGAATAATAACCCGAGTACATGATGCTTGCTTTGGCTTATACAGAAGACGTTCCAAAATGGGTAACATGAAAGCTGCAGTTTTTCCTGAAAGCATTCAAGCAATAATCTTCTGTATAATGAAAATTTGCTATATAGAGGTTTTAAAGAAGCCAATTTTTTTCTTTCAATAAATTATTAAAAAATCATTTTTTTTACACTGTAAATGTGAATAAACTAAAAAAATGTTACCCATTAATCACTAAGAACAGAATGTTAAAATGCTTTCTCAGTCACAACTAAGGCAGACACAGAAAGAAAACTGCAGGAACTCTTGGAGAGTGTAGTAAAGGAAAGCAGGAAGAAAAGACTAACCATGAATTCTAAGAAGACAGAATATATGGTTATCAGCAAGAGGAACAGCTCAAGATGCAAGGTATAAATTGGAAAAGTCAAAATCAAGTTAATAGAGAAATTTAAATATCTGGGAAGTGTTTTAATGGAAAATGTAACACTGAAATCTGGAGGTGCATTGGAACAGTGAAAAGTGCCTTCTAAAAATGAAACAATACAAAAACAGGAAGATTTTGTTAGAATCAAAGAAAAGTCGTGAATTGCTGTACAATATGAGTCCTCCTACATGCTACTCAAAGCTGGACAAATTTTTCACAGATGTCAAGGAGATTTGAGGCAAGAAATATGTTTTTACAGAAGAATGATGAGAATATCATGGATGGAGCAAGTGAACAAAAAGGAAGTTTTAAGGAAAATAAAAATTAGAATCCTAAATAGTTGAAATTTCTAGGAGACAATGAGGAAAGATGGCTTAGAGAATTTGACACTCATAGAATATAGTGAAGACAAAGAGCACTTCAACATGGTGTAATGGTTAGCAAGCTTGTCTCACTAGATCAATTACGACTGAGTAGTGGAGTTCGATCCTCATTTGGTGCTCCACACTTTCGGCCTTGTGTCACATCTAAGCTATGCTTAGAAAATCACCATATTGAAAGCAAAATGGGCAGAAGTAAACAGTGAACCTACATAATGAGCTTGTGTAAATGGATGACAGAACAGGGACTGGGAAGGATAGTAAGGAGACAAACATTAAAGTTACAAAAGATAGGGAGTTGTGGAGAGCCATGACTGACCACATCCTGAAGGAACATGGCATATAAAAGAAGATGAATGTATATAAGAACACAAGATTTTCTTATCTGCTGAGTTATGATGAAAATATGAACTTCCTGATTCATCCTTTAATGTCCAAAGTTAAAATGTATTTATTATTTATTTTACTTGTTGCTTTGGAATCTACAGATTAAATGTCACATTTAAAGTAATTTTTAATCCTTCATAGAAACAGTATCTTGAAGTGCAAATGATAATTTTATGACTAGCAGAACTGAAATTTTCTTTGGTAATATGATTTGCACCTCTCAAATTTTATTTGGAAAATATGGTGCTGCAAGAGGCTCAGTACATCAGAAGTTTTTTTTTTTATGTAAAACTAATTCAGTTAAGTTCCATATATAATATACACATGGGCAATCCTGTCTCTTTTGATTCAGGACTAAGAAGATTTTCTCTCGGTTGGTTACAGTTTATTTTTGCTAGTCAAGATTATATGATCAGTCTGTCCTGCTATTCAACCCACATCTGGGGGTAGAAGAGAAGGATTCATACCTTTTCCAAGTGTATTTGGGTGTAAGTGAATGTAAAGAACCTGCCTGGAATTCAAATTTGGCCCTCCAATTTCTCATTCCAAACTGTCATCCACCACATTGCACAACCCAGTAATTAATATTGTTATAAGAATCCCATTTACAACTAAGAAAATTAGTTAAGATTTTTTCACTTTGGCCAATGATTAATTTCCTCAAAAGAACTTTTTCAGTGGTATTTTACTTTTGATAGCTACTAAATCTCAACAACCTTAGAATATAAAGAATTATATATCAGGGAATTGCAATGTAGATGGGGATTTTTAACCTTAACTGCAACTTTGCACTTACAACTCAATTTGTCTAAATTAAATCATTTGATTAAAAAAAGAGAATACCAAAAATAATTTAAGTAATAAAATTAAATTTTCTTTCGTAAATATTTTTGGTAAGGAAAAAAATATTGTAATAGTTTTAGGTGTTTTATTATTAATAGAAAACCCCCCTTATCATAAAATATAGTTCAAACATTCTAATATGACCTGAATAAACTCAAATTTTACTCAAATTATTTTTACAGATATATTTTAAAATTTTGAAGAAAGTGAATAAAATAAAATTCATCAGCATTCATAAAAATTAATCTGAGAGGATAAAAATAGAATCAAACATGAAACATTTAGTGGCATGTGAAAAATAAGAAAGAAGAATTAATAGTTACTCACCTGATCCTGTAACAGCACAGGCACAGATATCCCGGCCCATCAGTGCAATTGGAATTGTAGCTGCTTGAATAGGCATGGGTTTATCAAATTTCATAGCAGACAAAGCCTAAACAAAGTGTAACACGATTAATAAAAAAACAAAACATTACCTACTCTTCTTAGTACTTTAAAATCTATATACAGAACAACATAAAAAATGTCAAACACACGTGTGTGTAAGCACTAAATAAAACATTTTATAAAATTTTTATATCAGATAGACAATATCATAAGTTACCTTAAAAGCAGTAAATGTTTTATTTGTCTGATATAAAAAAAAAAAAACAAAAAAAAACAAACAATCAAGTTATTATAAGAGTATGGCAATTTCTTTCTAAGAATAATTTAAAAATTCAATCCAAATGTATCTTATATTTTGTTAAACCTTCTGCAGGAATAAACAGTTGCTATATAATGGTATTTTCTGAGAAAGACATTCATGACAAAGAAGAAACAAAATGGATGGCCAAAGGTTGATGTTCATTTTTGCAGGTTTCATGCTGGAGCAACTTTTGGAGTTCAAAGTTATACATACTCTTAGGTGCTTAATACAGAGGGGTGGGGGTCTTAATTGGTGGGTCTCAATATGCAAGAAATAGGGGAGAATTTAATAATAAAAGGTTATAAATTCACTGAAAGAGCTAGGAAGTGCAAAATGCTAGCACCTAAGAGGAAGTGTTGAATCACATAACAAAATGACATAGCATAACCACTCTGTTATGTCAACCTTATATGGTCAGATTGCAAAAGCAAAAAACTGTTGTCCCAAAGTAAACTTTAGCAGAAATCAATCATATGTATGCAAAATGATTGAGCACACACAGCTGATCATAGTTGATATATATATATATATATATATATATATATATATATATATATACAAACACACTAAATTAACATGCTTTGGAAATATATACAAGTTCTGTACATGATAGCTTGCATGGTGCTAAAAAGTTATTAGCCAAATCAAGAAACCCTTTCCTTTCTGTAAAATTGATTTTGAGAAGCAAGTCAGGCTGAGAACTTTTTGTAACAAGCAGAGCAAATGATTTGAAAGCATAGAGAACCAATCAGAAGCAAGCAAAACACATACACACATAAGACAACGCTGCCTGATTGCATTGGCCAATAGTTAAGCATTAACTTTAAATTGTTCACACATGAATATCACAATAACAATGGATACATTTTAGGGGGAAAAATACAAAAACAAAAAACAAACAAAACTTTCCTATAATTTCTTGTTTTCAAAAAAATTTGAACAAACCTTTAAAATTGGTCGTGATAAATTCATATTTTGAAATGTCAAGTTCTCATCATAACTGTCAATATCTTCATCAAATTTGACTTTTTCTTCCTAAAAATGAAAAGAAAAAAGAAAGTTGTTTAAGAATAAAATCATAAAATATTTACCTTACATTCTGGATAAGTTTTCAATACATTAACAATTGTAACTGTAAAAAAAAGAATATTTTTTTTATTTTTCTGAAATATACTAACCTGTAAAACCAAGCATCATTTCTTTTGCCCTAATGAATAATACCAAACTGTTCTTGAAACAGTCCGATTAAAATGGAAGAAAAAGTTTTCCTCTATGAAAGAGAGTCATTAAATATATAGAAGGGCATGAATAGAACATATCTAGGGTTTCAAGTCTATACAGTATGTGGTTGAAATATCTCACACATATACTTCCCAGATAATGGTAAGTCATTAGTGGCAATGGTGTCATCATCTATCTAATGTCTTACCATTATCTGGAAAGTATATGTGTGAGGTATTTCTGCTACACCCTGTACTTTTGCCAACTTTATAGCTGCAATAGATGCCAGTCATTCAGTTAAGTATTCTAGATATAGTAATATCTGCCTTTAATTCAAATTGCTACAGACAAATTATAAAAAGTAAAAAGATTTACAACTTACATCATCTTGCTTTTTGGATTTTTTCTTTTTCTTTGTTTTATCACGTACAATATCTACAAAAGAAAAGTTGACAACAATGTATCAAGAAAGGTACATGAATTAATATCTTTATTCTGACTTACCAACTTGAAAATTACATTTTTTTAATTAACATTTTGTTTGGCACTACTTGATCATTTCATAAAAATCAACATGCCATAAAACTATATGTATTCATTCTTTGCATAACCTGATATTAATTGTATTTTGTTTAATTTACTTAAAATCTCAAAGCTATAACAGATTGATATTAATGAATATTTATCATACTTTCTTGCATCTCACTTTTTGTGGCTATTTCTAAAATGCCTTTTTTTTTATAATTTTGTTGTTTCAACATTGTTCTTGTTATCTTCTTCAGGTTTACTTTTTAATCTAAATGTTTTGTTTTGTACTACTAAAAAATTCATTAAATAGAGACTGTACTTTTTCATTTGAATATTAGACTTGAAGAAGGCTATGGACTGAATTAGCCAAAACACTGCAGAAGAAAAGAAAATCAATAATCCAAAGATCTTTTTGAATGACAATTGAGTGTATCATCCAGTGTTAGGACATCTGTAATCTTATAATCCAAGTTACAACACATTATTGTTATTCAAAAACTTTGCTCTAGTATAAAAGTACTTTGATACAAAAAAAGTTTTTTTCACAAGAGTGTGTCAGAGAGTAAAAGAAAACAAAAAAAAAAAACAAAAAAAGAAACAAAGTTTAGTAAACTGTTAAATTTTTTATGTTTTAAAATATTAATATTATTTATTATTAATATTAATATTTTTAGAATTTTTAATTTACTGCATATAAATTCTTAAAAGGCCTATCATAGTTTAAAAAATATAATTTAGTCAGAGAGAAAATAGTAGGGAATCTTAGTTAATATACTAACCTAAGTTTAAAACTAAATTCTTTAAGATTATTTTTATTCTTTTTCCCTGAAACCAATTCACACACACACACACATATATATATATATATATATATATATATATATATATATATATGAGTACTGAAAAGTTCTTGTACAGAGCAAAAAGCCCTTCAAAAATGATTGTTCAAATTTTGGGAAGTGAATCAATTTAAGAACATTTTAGCACTTCCTTGTATATATTCCATTAACACATCATACTTATTATAAAACCCAGGTTGTGTGTGTGCGTGTGTGTTCGTTTATATATGGGATCGGATTTCCTACATTTTTCAACTGATTTCAACAAAACTTCACTTTTATTTTGGCAGGTAGTGTTTCTTATTGTCTTGCATACTTTTTTTCTTTATTTTTATATTCAGAATGCTTTAAAAATTCCATTTACAAGACAATTGTTTATAATAAAATTCTATTCAATCGGTAGACTCATAATGATTGAAAACAATGTTTTTGTTTGAGTTTGACCAATTCATAAAAAAAAACTAATTAAGACATGCGTGTCCGTCAACCTTAAACAATAATCTTTGTCAATTTTATTTTTCAGTCTTTATGATGGTCGATACTTGATCTATCTCTTACTGTTACATCCCTGGGCAACGCCGGGCTCTACTGCTAGTGGAAGATAACTTCAATTTCAGCATTATAGTTTGTATCATTTGCGATAGTAACATATTTATTCTTTTAATGTAATATAGGATGCAAAAAGAAATCTGTTAAAGTTAATATAGTTAATACAAAGCCAGTCCCTCTCTAAATTTATTTTTTGGGGGAAATTATTCAATAATAAAAATTATCAAGCATGATGTTAATATAATAAATTGGTTCCAATCTGTGTAGGAATGTCTGTTCATTGTTTATATTTACAAACAATTTTGGCACAAGGCCAAAGGGGAAGTGAGGTGAGGCTGGTCAACAATAACTATCCTAGACTTAGCGAATTAGATTTACAACCCATTCATCCATTACATTTTACTCATTCACCACAAGAGCTCATCCATCACCATTCAATATGACATGTACCACAATATCATGTATTCATAGGGAACCTACAAAAAACCCATGACATAAAAATTTTGTAATATACAAAATCTATCTTTTTTTTTTCTTCCTTTTATGATAAAAAATTGCCTATAGGCAGAATCAAGAAGCTCATTCACTAGAGTAGAGGGAAGGATAAAAATACATGGTAGAGTGGGAAAATCAAATACTGACCCAGTTGAGATGAAAAACAATCCATGTAGGAATGTACATTTATTTTGTATATGATACAAAGTTGTGGCACAAAGCCAAAGGGGAATGTAGGGAAAGGCGATCTTTGCTGACTGTACTAGTTAATCACAACTCATTCACATTCTTTACAATATATCCAATCACCACAAGAGCTTATCCATCAGCTCTCAATCCTACATATACCACAATACCACATATTCACCAGGGATCTACAAAACATCCCATGATGTAGAAATTTGTACAGTTCAAACTTTTTTTTTTCTTATGAAAATATATTAAAATTTATATAATAATGAAAATGATGCAGGGAAGGAATGAACCCAAAAACAAAACTAAAGAGTGAAACAAAAACAAACTAAAACAAAACTGATGATAATAGGCCCTGGCCATCCCTCAAAATATTAAGAGTGGCCACTGTATTTGGCTGTTTGACAGAATCAAGAAGCATACTCACTAATGGAGTGGGAAGGATAAAAAATAAATGACGGAATAGGAAAATAAAAGGCTGATTCAGCCAAGATGAAAAAAGGCGACAAAAACAAACTGGGGAGGTTGAGACTCTCAACATGAATTATAACAAAAGTGTATGCTGGGAACAAACCTGGAGCAACACTTATTCACAATAACTAGGAAAACAAATAATGTCTAACTTAACCAGGGAAGGGTTCACAGGAAACCACCCCACTGCATTAAGGAGAATTAAAAGAGAAAATCAAGGCTAGCCCCATTCACACAAACCTGGATCACACAGTCACCCACCATACATTGAAATCTGTTGATATCAAACGCTTTCTATCAGTTCTGATCTTCATCCTGAGCCTAAAGAATCCGAGCAGAATAGCATTCATATCACAAGATTACCTCTGTCTGTGATATCCACACCATCATTCTTGCTATGGCTAGTAAAGAGAGAAACACCAACCATTTCACCCTGGAAAACGGTGTCAACACATTATCACACACATACGTGAAGTTGATGGACACAAACTGATCAAGAGCAATGTGAGCTGTGAATTCACCCACATAGTCCCAGAAAGGGCGCACATGAAGACGATGATGCAAAATCATTTCTTCTAAGCCAAGGTTACTTCGATGACAGTTGAACAAATCAACCCCACCACCTCTGAAGGTTACATAATTGAGATAGCATGTCTCGAATTAATCACCATGTAAGCAAAAACACAGGGTTGCTGAGATAGTTCACTGTTGGCATCCAAGACCAGAAAAGGGCAAATCTGATGCTGAAAAGCCAAGACGGCCTCAAATGCATGCCCTCATGACCCCTTCCACTAGATCACAATATAATAGCCTATGAGGCTGTGAAAGGTCTCTGGACTAAGGAATAGCCTTCAAAGCCATCCGACACTCTTGCAGGAACCTCTATTGATTCCATGGTTTATAATGGCATTCAGCCTCCGAAAAATTGAGAGCAATGGTAAGGCTAGAGAATGTGACCCTAACATTCCCCTTCAAGTCCTCTGTCAATGCACAGCATAGGAAAACCAACCTTGGCATTCAGCACAAACATGACTGTTGGTCTCTCTGCAGACCAGATGCTTGCAACCATCCCAAATCCATGTAGGAATGACTACAAAACCATTTCCTCTCCCAAATTTATAGGCAGAAGCACACAAAATCATGCTGGGATTTCTTCCTAGACAATAAGATAGGCTTCTTGTCGGTTTCATCTGACTCAATCCAGATCTGCCATTTCAGGTGGTTCAGAGTGACTTGTCGAACTCTCTACCTTTGTGCAGAGAGGAACCCAGACGAGGATATGCCTTTGGGCAGAGTCACGTCTGGGGAGGTAGACAAGCCTGACTCTGTGTATGTGGGGTATACGGGGAATTTTTACCCAAGCCTACAGGCTTGGATTCGCCCCCATGTAAAAAAACAGCTTTGTGCCACATCCTGCTTTGTGGGGAGGCTAAGGTAAATAACCTCAGTCCTTGTCTGTCTTGAAGTCAGAATGCTATGTTTGCTTATCCAAATTTGCTCTTAGTTTGTGAACCTTTTGCCATATTACTGCTAATTTGCCTTGTATATATTGTTTGCTTGCTTTATATTAATTTTTGCTCTATTCTTTTTTTTTTTTTGTCTTGTTGTTATTTCAAACTTTGTCAATTCTGTTTGTTGGGCAGTTCTTCCATTTATTTACATTTAACAATGGCCATTCACTCTACAAATGGATAAACATGGAACAAAATAATTACCTGCTACATTTATTTCTTCAGCTGAATCTTCTTCACTGCTGTCACTATTTTCAGCCCAATCTTCATTTTCCACTGATTTATCCTTGTCATTTGCTATGGATTTCTGCAATTTTAAAATCCAAACATCAGATAATACACAGAGTGTTCAGAATAATGTTATCTGCATGGAGATTCTTTGAACCAAAAGTTTAAACTCAGTTACACATTTAAACATAAACCAATTTATGAAATCAAAAGGATTCACTTGTAAAATATATATTTTGAATTAACTTCCTCTTTGTTACTTTATTGGTGATGATGAAATGAGCCATTTGGCATTCATTGACCAAACAAAATTACTGTTGATTGAAATTTATGAAATCATTTTCTTAAAAACAGTTTTTCAGGAAATTAGACTTCTCAAGTCCAGTTATCACTTTCTAATATTGATGGGAGTTTCCTTCATTACCTTTTGTTTAAGGTAGTGTGGAATGTGAATATCATGATTATTTTCTCTTCTAGTTGTATATACTATCCATTTTAGTTGTTGCTGCTGTTGGAAGTCTTTAATGTGGTTTTTGTTATTTGATAAAGCTCTTTGTGATTCTGTAGTGCCAGTCTGAAGGACTGTTTTCTTTAATAGGATTTATTCACTTGAAGCCATTTTTAATCATTGTTCTGAGAAAATGTGTATGTTTCATGTGATATATAAAACAACAATCAGGATCACACATTTAATCACTTATGAGACTTGATTAGTATTATGTCTTGTAAGTGATTAACTGTGTGATCTTGATTGTTGTTTTATGTTAGACTAAGCAAAAACATAGATTGTCAACTTGAACTTTCAGCCAAGCACTTTAAATTAAAATTTAATTGAATGTTAAGTTTTTTATGGTAAGCTCACTTCTAAGCAACAAAACATTTCTACATAGTTTACCCATGTTAGAAAAGTAGGATAAAAGAAAGGATGATGATGAGACTTAAAACTTTAATACTGTCCTCAAATTCATCCTTATGTAAAAGATAATTACCATAGCATAGATTTATATAATGTTTATCAATGATAAATAGTTTAAAAAAAAAAAAAAAAAAAAAAAAAAAAAAAAAAACATCATTTGAAATCAAGTTGTAAAAAAGCAGAAGGCCAGATATTTTGTCTAACCAAATTTAAATAATTTTTGTAAGTATAAAATTTTATTATGGCTTTACAATGCCTTGTATATTAAATGTGAGCAACCTTTCCTTGATAAGCAGAAAAAATGATTGCTGGGTCTTAATGAATTTAATCTGTGACACAGTGCTGATTCTTTGTTAGTATTTTTTTCTCTCTCTCAATTTTAGTCATTGCATACATATTTATGATCGAGTTCTGAAGAGCAAGAAGTACTAACTGGTTAGCATTTTCTTCTAATTTATTCCTTTACAGTGAGAAATGATTTTTTTTCTTTGCTCTTGCTGAGATATTACTATATGAATATATACTTTTTTAAAATGTCTATTCTTAAAACCATAATAAACAACTTTATGAGAGTTATCCACCAGAGTGAGAAGTTTTAAGAATTAAAATATTTAGATCAAAACACATTCAATTTTTTTTTTAATGTTTAATACAACACTAGATTTGCCATTGGCACAAACAAGTCATAATCTAATGAATTAACACCAACAACAAAGACAAAAATCTTGATTTAAAATAAATACAAATAAAGAGTCGTCATAAAATGATAGAAACACTCGGAATTTTCATAAAAGTCTGCAGAGTGGAATTTTTCTTTTATTTCATAAAATGATTAAAAGAAAGAAATAGTGTACTTTTACCTTTTTTTCTGTTCGGATCTTGGATATTTTATCATCTAAACTGGTAACTTCAAGTTTCTTTTTCTTTGCATGTCTCAAAGCAAAATCTGCATCAAAACTACTTTCATCTTTCAGCTGAAAAAAAAAAAATTTTTTTTAAATATTCAAGTGTCTCTAAATATAAAAAAAGTCAAACCACCTTCTTGTTGCAGGACTGTATGGCTAACATCATCTGTTAACTATAATTTTGCAGACCTCATAAAGTTTGGAAATATTTTCTTACACTTAATTATAGTGAAAACAGTCAAAAGGTAAAATTTAATAAACAACCATTTACAAAAATCTGAATGGTTATCCTCAACTTTTTCTAAGACTGGACTAAATAATTTATTATTTAATAATAAACCTAAATATAAATAATTCAATTATTCAAGTATATAATACTGTAAGGTGAATGTTAAATTTCAAATAATTTTTGCAACATATTGTTTTCCATTATGTATTAAAGTAGAGGGAAATCTGCTCACTGAATTATATCGACAGATATTGAAAACTTACAGTAAAATCAAATTGAAAATTGTGGTTGAAATCAGTTTTCCTTTTTAATTTCTTCTTTTGCTTTGTGAGTGGAACCACTTGCTGTAAAAAAAAGGAAAAAAAAAAGGATAAATGTTCTATAATGAAGAACAGAAAAAAATATTTAAAATAAAAAAAAAAAAAAACTTAAAATGAGTACCTTTTCAAAACCTTGAGTAAAAAAATCAAATGAAATATAAATTTTTGGCTGAAATGAGAGATGATAACCTGTTCTTTTGCTGAGTAAAAATAGACAAAAAAAAGTCATAGAACAAAAGTTACAACTTTAGTTTGTAGGTGGGGAAAAAGTAATAGAGAAAATAAGTAATATTTTGGATAAGATAATATTTGAATTTATCTTAAAAGTAATATTTAACTTACAAAAGAGAAATAAGTAGTATTTTCATAAACTAAATTTTAGCAAAATAAAACTGTAAAAAATTAATAAAATTTAATTTATTAAAGATTACTTATTTCATTATTATAAATTAATAGCACTTATTTTCATTAAGATATATTAAATAAATAAAAATTACTTATTTACTCCACAACAATTTTAATATCCAAACAAAAATGTGTGTGTGTGTGTGTGTGTGTGTGTGTGTGTGTGTGTGTATGTATGTATGCATGTACAGCACCTTTGGAATGTGCCTGAAAACCATACCACAGGCTGACTGTCAATAGCTGTGCTAGCATGAAGTCACAAGTCATCGTGATCCAAAGTTTGAGTATGCTAGCTTTGTTTAGATTGTTGATCATGCTAGATAACATGCTTTCTCCCAGAAACTGTAACTAAAGTCTGCTCAGCATAGTTGCAGTATAAACCACAGGTGGGCTTTGTTGGTGTTGAACAAACACAAATGTACCTGAGCGAGCATCTGAATTAAGGATTGGCTAGCTGACCTAGTATCCTCGAATATGATTGCCAGCTATAGTAGTATATATATATATATATATATATATATATATATATATATATATATATTTATATATATATATCACCATGGACAATTTGTCAGGAAGGTGACTTTTTGATGTCATTGGTCTGGGGGAGGCAATCCCTGTGTGTGACAACTTTGGACAGTGTCTGAAAACCATACAAGTTGACCAAGCTTAGTGAATTATATTGGGTAGACAGATCTGTTCAAATGATGTCAATGGTTGTGCTAGCATAAACTTACAAGTCATCATAACTGAGGGTTTGAGTGTTCTGGTCTTGTTTAAACTGCTGATCACACGAGACGATGCAGCCACCCCCAGAAACTGTAACTAAAGTTCATGCAGCATAGTTGCAGTATAAACTACAAGTAGGTTCTGCGGGTGTTGAGCAAACACAAATGTGCCTGAAGAAGTGTTTACAACAGGGATTGGCAAGCTGCCCTAGCAGACAGGTGTATTTGGGAGTAGATGGGCATAATAAGGACACATGGCCCAGTGGATAAAGATGTTGGTTAGATTCAGTGACTAGACCCAAAGAATTGTGAGTAGTGGTGAGCCAAAAAAAAAAAAAAAAACTTGGAGAGTTGAATTAAAGAGAAACAACTGAGACATCTGGAAGAGGCATGGCACTTGGAACTAGAACAATCTACCCTGGTGGACAGAATAAAGAGTTCAGTTTGAAATTCCAATCAACTGAAGAAGGCCAGAGCATACAACACCCAAAATGTTGTGAATATGGCAATGAAGATAACAGTTTGAATAATGTAAATAATGCAAGTAATATATATATTAGTCCATCAAATCACTAAATGTTCATTCAAATAAACTTTCTTGAAGATAACAGACAAGCAGATGTAACAAATCTGATTGGAATTTCAATTCAGCTCTTCAACTTCTCATCCATTACACTATCTGCAAGTTGCACATCCAACATCTGACAGCAACTGGTATTCCCAAGTGACTACCCACCTAGGTACTGACCAGGCTAAACATTGCTTAAATTAGATGATCTGAACAAAAAACAGTGTTTCAATGTGATATGGCTGTAAACTAGTTGTATGGTTTTGCTATATTTGAATTTTTAAATATTTCAGGTTGGAGGATAAAAATAAATTTTTTTTATCATAGATAATAATAAAAAATCATAATTTATCAACTGCTGGTAATTTTCTTTTTTCACGTTTAAAAATGAAGTGATTGTGCATTGAATTAAATGTAATCTTATTCTTTATTGTTCATTCACTTATTCTATTTAGACATTGTTGTAGTTGTCACTGTTGTTTGGATGTGTTTTGATCTGTAGCATATCAAAATAATCATCAACATTTAGGGAAGTAATGAATTCCCAGACTTAAGTATTTAAGATAGGTAACTCCATGAGATCGCTAAAAAAAGAGCATAGCATGATGAAAAAGACGCCAAACCTGATAAAAACAAAATTTTATCATCTAAATGCTTTTGTTATTATTAAGAGGAAAGACCAAAGTTTTTTTTAATTATTTTAAAAATTTTTTCCTTTTTTTTAGAACATTCTAAATTTTGATTAAAAAACCTTGTTTCTCTTTGTATCACCGGAACTAGTAAAACAACATACAATTTTTAGCACGTTTTTTTTTGTATGACAGACATTAATTTGGAAAATCTTGCAAAAATAAAAATAATTGTCGGATGTTAATAAAACTTTCAGAAACTATTCACAGATGATGGAAATTATTATAAATGTTTTTTTTATTAAAGTCATGGCAGAAATATTTTTTTTTATATTTATTACCCACCCCATAACTAATTTTATGAAAATTCTAGAAATTCAATCGAATACACTTTAGTGATTACAATAGTTAAAAGCACAAGGCTTTGAGGAATGCAAATCATTTTTTTTTAATTGGACACCCCCCTACCTGAAAATCAGCTCTAAATTGTAACATACAAAACTCAATAAAACAAATATATTATTTAATTTCAAATGCTTTTATTTGCTTTTAGTTGTTTTTATGAATATGGACAATATTTTCTGAAAGCAAAAAATCTTTTCAATGAAAAATGAATTTTTAATACAATTATTTGTTATTTCTTTAATTATAATAAATTTTTGCATTTAAGTTGTTAAAATATTATAAAATTAGTTAAAAGCTGCATCCAGTTTCGTAAATGTCCTTATGAGATAGACCTTTTTTTAACAGATTGTAGATTGTACAGTTCTGACTAATCAGAAGACCTGCAATAATTAAGAAATGTAATTTTGTGTTTATAATGGGGCTGTAATTATAAAGTACGGAAGACCAACCAGAATACAATTAAGTTGCGTTGAGTTAAGCATTGTCCTCCACTGTTAAGGCCTTTACTTTTGCAAAACATGTGTGGAGAAGTTAATTTGATGTTACAATTTCAACTGAGAAGGGTACCTACATGTATCAGTATCATCTTATGAAATTTATATGATCTTAATTTTATATTAATCTCAGTTATGACATTTTTCTATAAATGAAATATCAAAATTAATAATAAAATGAATGGAAATACAAATAACACAGTAAAATGTAATAAATGTACATAAAATTATAGTATTTTATGTACACTTCTGATAAAATTTCATAAGAAAGGTACCTATAAATTAATTAAGATACATTTCTTATGAAATTTAATCTTACTCTCAACAGTCTTATTTTAATTTCTTTAACATATTTTCCATAAAGCATCGTAAACGTAAAAGTGAAAGCTAAGTACAAAAAAAAAAAAAATTAGAGCACTGAAAGTTTTCCTTAAAAATAACGAGGTAAATAATTTGTTCACTTAAATCTATATAATTTCACTTCTCTCCTTCTGTAGAACAAATTATCCTCACGTAATCCATCAATACATCATTTATCACATGTCAAGTGACGCGAAATGTTATGACCTGCTTTGTTTAATTTTCAAACTTACACCTTTTCGGCACAGAACCTAAATAATGCTGGTTTCAAAATATTTTAAATAAACATTATAATTTCTGATTTTCTTAAAATAAGTTTTGAAAAAATTAAAATTAATTTTTAAAAGAATTTCAAACTGAGATTTTCATGTTTTTTATAAAATGGAAAAAAATGGTTGACATGATTGATTATCTGTCAATTTTGCTGACTCAAAAAAAAAAAAAACAAGATTTTTAACAAAAATTTCGGACGTGCTAGGAACAATTAAAAAATGTAGAAAAATACCCCCAAAATACTTTGATCTTTCCTCTTAATAATAACAAACATTTAGACGATAAAATTTTGTTTTCGTCAAGTTTGACGTCTTTTTCATCATATGCTTTTTTAGCGATCTCATCATGGAGGTGCCTAATTTAAGGATATTGTTACTCTTGCTTGATGCTAAAAACTAAAAAGGAACTGACAGGATGCTTCCTTGTGGAATACCTCCTTGTTTCTAAAGATCAAAAAGGTTGAATTTTGAAGTTTCTCCCCAAGAAGAAATTATAGTTAGAGAGCAGTCTGACATCAACCTGAGATTTTTCATTCAAAGTGATGAAGGATTCCCTTGTGAATGTTTCTGAACAGATCAGAAGTCACGTTGAAAATTGGTAAAGGCTGTTGATTTCCAGAAACCAGTTCAGTCTATCATCGTACATCTCAAGGTTTTACAGAAGCAACTTGTCAATGAAATGGGCCGATAGTTTTTCGGATTTGTAATTGTCATTTCTGAATTTGGGGATAGGGATTATGGTCATTTGTTATCATTCACTTATGACATGGGTACATAATGATTTCTTTTGTGCGAAATTCCGAAGGTCAATGTATTCCGTGATGTGTATATTTACTAGAGTATCATAGATTCTGAAGGAAATCCCACGTTTTAAAAGCAAGGCATTTTTAAAATAAAGATTTGATTATTTACTACTACTTAGGTCATCTATGAACAAAAGCTACGGTACTAGAATTCATGTTTATTAAAATCTCACTTGGATTTCATTCTCATGAAGTTGGAAAGAGAAAAGATTTGTGAAAGTATAACTGTGTATGATAAATAAAATAAGTTTAAAATGCTAAGATTTCAGACAATTATTCAGTTACAATTCAAAACACTGCTTGATCTTTCTTTATGACTTGAATGAAAGAAGAATGTTTATATTTTAAAAATATTTTAATTAAAATAAATTTAGCCATATAAAACATTAATCAAACATTTTACATTAAAATAATACAAAAGTAATTCTGTAAACCTCAAGCAATAAACTTAATCGATTTTTCTTTTCTTATAAACATCAAGAAAACACGTGTTCATTTTTTTTACGCAAGAACAGAACAAGAGAATGTGCATGTATTCTTTGCCATCTTAAAAAAAACCCCAAAGAATTAAATATGAACTTGTTACATACTTCTTCATCACTTTCTGATGTTTCATCATCAAACTTGAGTTCTTCATCATCATTAATTGTTCCAACAAAACCAAAACTTTCTAAATCATCCGCCATGCTGGATTCTTAACCAGACAAGTAGCTGAAAACACCGACAAAGTTAGAATTACACCAGCAAATTTCTCTTCGTATTTTTTGAAAACTCAAATTGTAAATGTTTTGTTATATATGATTTTATATATACATAAAATAATTAATGGAGATTTAAATTATACGCTTGAAAATATGCATGTGAAAATATAAATTTATTTTCTTAATACTTTCTTAAAAGAAAGTTTATAAAATTATTATATGCATAATTTCAATTACTTAGTTATAAATAACATTTATGCTTAAGCCTAATTAGTGTTTTAATTTTTAAATTAATTTTATATTTTTTCTTTTCATTTAACTACGAAACTAAAACTGATTCTACTTTTCTGGATTTGGCGGTAAATGCATGTATGTTGTTCCTTTCAGGTTGTCCCTGAATTTAAAGTGTTTTGTACGTGTCATATTTGTTAATTGCCGATTTTTATTTACGCATAATACCAATATGGGAATTCACGGTCTTGCAAAGCTTCTCGGAGATAATGCTCCGTCATCGTTGAAGGAAAATGAAATCAAGAACTATTTTGGTAAGTGACGTTATTAACAAAATTAAAAAATTCGCTGACCAGATTTTACGCTTATTGGAGGGAATTTTGTTTGGTGGTATTTCGTTCGCGCATAAATACTAAGTGAAAAAAAAAAAAAAGTTATACTTATTTTAGCAATCAGGTTTAAACGAATGATGTACAGTGACAATATCATTTGTTTCGGTCTTTTTCTTCTGATTAGAAAAGAATTACCAGTTGTAAAAAATTAAAATATGATTGATCCTTTTTTCAACAATAACATTATTAATTAATTGGTTAGGTCAGGACTGAAAAACGATTATCAACTTTCTCTACCGTTTAGTGTTAGTTACTCTCTTGTTTGGATGTGTTTTGTTCTGTTCATTACGGTCAAATTAGTACGCTGAAAACTCCGATTCTCGTTCGATCACCGAAATTAAGTAATGTCGATCTCAGTCAGTACTTAGATAGGGTATCGCTTAAGCAACCTCCTATAATCCAAAATAAGTTTCGGCTTTAACCCACAAAGTTTTGATAAGCCGTAAAAACAAACATTAATCAACAAACATACAAACTTCTTCTTCATCATGGAATCTCGAACTGAACCCTTTATCGTTCCGCTGTCCATGACTAGGGATTTCTCGTCTTGTTCTTATTTTTAGTTGGTTGGTTTCATATCAATCTGGGTTATTTAATGCCGAAATCTAAATATTTTGTACGCTATTTTATTTATTTTTCAGAATGTTTTTTAGTGATACAAGTCTTACTAATTAACTCATAGCTGGAGGGAGAAGAGATGGATTCATAACTTTCCCAAAGGTATTTGCGCGTAAGTGAATATAACGATCCCAACTGGAATTGGAACTCGGCTCTCTTAGTAACAATTCCGAACCATCCATTACAATACAGTACACCACACTACAACACTCTACGAAACTCGACGTTGCTTAACTTTCAACGTTATCTGATCGTAATCCTCTTAAATGCTCAGTTATTGCTCAATCTGTTTCCACTGACTCTAAGTCTGTACTACTTAGCCCAGGGATTGAACTTAGAATTACCAAATTCACAAAACAAAACTTTAATCCATTCACGGGTCAAGAGCCTAGTGGATTAAAAATTAAAACAGGGCGAACAATATCCCTAAATGTGGATTACTGCGGAACGAGAACAACTCCTCACCCCCATGGATTAAATAAAGAATTCGTTTCGAAATTCTATGAAGGTTACCTGGATCGACAGGCATCTGAACAAGGCTGGAGAGCACAACAGCCAAAACGTGGTAACAATGAATAGAGATAAGGACATTAATCTGAATGTATTGTAAATAATTATAATTCTTCATTCCAGAAATTAGTCAGTGGCCAGTTTGGCATTTTATGTACATTGTAAGTAGAACTCCTAATTTAACCACTTTGTCTGTTTCCACTTAAAACTTGCCTGAATCTTTACATTTTTCACTTAAACAAAAAACTCATTTCCATAAATGAGAAGTTTAAAAAATTCTTAAGTTATGAATTTGTCTACTTTTGTTGATAGTTTATATATATATATATATATATATATATATAAAATTAAAATTAATTGATTTAAAATATGTTTTTTTTTTCGCTACACAGTTCTAACCATGTTTAAAAAATGGAAGCTTACTGTTCTTTCTTTTTATTTATATATACAGACATATATATATATATATATATATATATATAATATTTTCTTCCCAAAATATTTTTCTTGTCAGTGTCTATTAAATAGCACCAAAAAGGAACAGTTATATGATGTTGGTGTCAGCCTAATACATCTTCAGTTTCTGCTTTCTCACTGCCTTTGTTTTATATTGTTGACAATTCCATCTTGGATGGTATAATGGTTAATAGCTCAGAATGAGAAATCACTTTGAAGGTGTTTGAAATACAGTTTTGTTCATTACATTTCATTTTTGCACAGATACTTTTGTGGAAAAAGATATGAATCCATTTCTTTTCCTCCAAGCTATGAGTTAACCACTCTAGAACAACTCTGAATTCAAAATTTGGCAACTACTAGATTTAAAAAAAGCTTGCTTATTTAGTAATCATCCTTAAAAAAAAAAGAAAAAAAATTATCCACACATAATGAAATCAGACATGTGCAAAAAAAACAAAAACTTTTATATCCCAAACTATATTAGCTGTATTTATTGTTTCAGGACGAAAAGTTGCTGTAGATGCTTCTATGTGTATATACCAATTTCTGATAGCAGTGCGACAAGATGGTTCTATGTTGACCAATGATGAGGGAGAAACTACCAGGTAAGATTTTGAGCATTATCCGGATTCTTAAACAACATTTCAAACATAGAAATCTCTTGCTTTTACATAGTGTATATACAAATATGATTTTATATTACTGTTTATCATTATACCAATGAGAATCATCATTTTTCCATACAAATATTAAATACATAAAAAGTCATATATTTATTATTTACATTTTGGACAAATGTCTATCTTTATCACATTTCAGCTCTTGTACTCTTTGACTTTCTTTAGGTGTCTGTCAATTTAAATTTCAAACAGAATCATTTTACTCTATGTTCCACTGTTCTCATTTTTACTGTCCATCTCTTGGGATATTTTGTCTTGTTTTTATTTAGTACTACTCATTTGTTACTTGCTTTGTTTCTGAGCAATGCTTAAGAAAAAAAAAGTGGATGGAGACAAAATATCTCTAGACATGGACAATGGAACAAGAACTACCTACTCTTGTAAATTAAATAAATGGTTCACTTTGAAATTCCCTGAAGGTTACCCAAATTGGCAGACACCTGAAGAAGGCCAGAGGAGATAATGGCCAGAATGTTGTGATAATGATAATAACAAACATGATGATTATTTACACTATTTACATTGTTCAGACTGTTGTCCTCATCTTTGTTGTCATATTCACAACATTTCCGCCATTGTACGCTACAGCCTTCTTCAGGTGATTGGAATATGATGAGGATATTTGTTTAAATATAAATAAGGATAACTCCTCATTTCAAAAATTCCAATTCACATATTTAAACAAATATATTTTTTTTTCAATGTTTTCAGTTTTTTTGTTTTTTTTTTTTTCTCAGTGGGTTTTATGATATATGCACTTAAAATAATTGAGACAATATCAAATTGGAAATCTGCCAATATTGTATTGATAATTTGTTGAAAAATTTCTTATATGTATTTATTACCAAAAAGGTAATTTATGATATTGATATAATCCTCAGCGTGTAATAATTGTCGGTAAATATTTACGGTTTTCTTTATAGTCATCTGAAAAATACAACTAATATTTAACCTAGGTACCTCCACTTTTTTGCTGAAAAAACAACATAGCATGATGAAAAACGTCCCAGTTTTATTGTAAAAATGTTTGTTGTTATTAAGAGGAAAGACCAAAGTATTTTTTTTTTTTTTTTTTTTTTTTTTTTTAATCCTGTCTAGCATGTTTGAAATTTTGGTTAAGTCTTGTATTTTTTGTGTTAGTGGTCAACATAATATTTATGATTAGTGTTTTAGCATTTTTTTTCTAGTGAAAAACATGTTGATTGGAAATTCTTGCAAAAATCAAATAATTGCTAGAACTTATTCACAAACGAATGAAATTATTTTTGAAATTTTTTTTGGTTTAAGAAAATTTTGGTAATAATTTTTTTTTTTTTTTTACATATTTTATATTGCTATACACGGATCCATCTTTTTAATATTTTATATTAAAAAGACCTACTTGCATTATGCTTTATCCTTTCCACTTACAGATTTGATATTATTTTATATAGTCTTGATAGATGGTCATATTCTTAACATGCTGTTTTTTTTTTTTTTTACACCATAAAGTACACACTTTTATCTAAGTATGCCTATTGGAGAATCAATCAGAGTGACCTCCTTTACATTTTTCATCAAAGGCTATAGGCATATTTGAGGTCAATTTTAGCAAAATATTAATTCCTGATAACTTGCGGATAGCAGTTTCAATGTGTTACATTCTTCCTAAAACCAAATCTCCTTCTGATCCTTGCTACACTAATTTCCACAGTTGGCCTGATATAAACGCTCTGAACGCCCAAAACTGAACTAAAATTTTGTCACTGCAAACCTGCCATTTTTACTCAGACACTCAAAGAAAGCATAAGCAATACAATCCAGAAGTTCCATCCAATAGCACCCACTCTGACATGAAGAAAAAAAATAAAAACCAGAGCTGATTTGAGCATAATAAAGGGCATAAAAGCTCATCAAAGGGACATTTTCAGCAGTTGAACAGCATCTTGGCCTGGGTTCATAGACTATGTTGGAAAATGACCTTCCATCCTCAACAGACAGCTCACCAAAGGCCTCACCCCAGTAAATCACAACTCTTCCCCCTCTCCTCCTGTATGCCTCAGTAGATGCCTTTTACAATTTCTTTTTTTCAACAAGACATTTAAACTAATTTAGC